ACCCACTGTATGTATATATATATATATATATATAATAGAGAGAGAGAGAGAGAGAGGTGTGTGTGTGTGTATAGATATATCCATTGTCATTTTTCCTCACAAAAAATTAGAATGATAACATTAATGATAACAAATGAGATTTATGTAAAAAAAATTAATCAAAAATATTAAAAAACACTTAAACCACTTCAGTTAATTGACCAATAGAACTTAGTCAGGTTAGACGTCATATTGAATTTAATGCAAATGAAAATGAGGCAGTGAGGGATAGATTTAATGTCTTTACAATGGCTTGCACTGTATAAAGGTCCTAAATCATGTAATTTTCCCAGCTCGCAACTTTCAAAATGAAGTCTGTGAAGTGAATGAAGTGTTTTATTGAGTCTGAAATCTAAAAAGTTTTTCAGAAAGACGTTTTGTCAACAGTACAATCCATTGTATGCATGTACTTCCATTCCTTACAGCCTCTTTTTCATTCCTGTCAAAAATTAAATATGGCACTACCCTGAGTAAGGGGTATTATGGGTAAATACTGGCCAATTAATAATTTTTATATAATTATAATTATAATTATTTTATATTTTATATTATTTATATTATAATTATGTACATTTTATATTAGTCAGTCATTACTATTAACAGACCTGATAGGTCACCGGAAAACTAAATCTGGCTGTTCATGACATGACCAAGGAAATGTGATTTTAATGTGTTGTGTGTACAGATGAGAAGGTTATGGGCCAAATAAGGGAGCTCCAGATGAAGCCAGATGATTTTGACCGAGTGAAGGTGATCGGTAGAGGAGCATTCGGAGAAGTCCAGCTGGTAAGGAAACAGTGTTTTTGAAAGAATTTCAGGATGCATTTAAACGTATATGTGTTGACTGCTAAGAAAACGTACAAATCTTTCCCACTGTTTCTTTCTTTTGTGTCTGATGTTATAATCCTGTACCTATTTTATTAGTAAATTTAGTGCAAAGGCAATTTATTTGCACATATAAGTTGCACATACACTGCTAAATAAATCTGCGGCATCAACATGTTCCTCGATGCATCACATTTTGAAAGCACTATGTTAACTCCATTAAAATGAGATTAATTGCAATTATTTAGATCTATTAATAGCCACACTTTAAGTAATGTAATGTGTAATCTGTATGGATGGGTTAAGTTTGTGCACATTCATCCAAATGCTGCAAGCAGTTCTGTGTGGTTCCTGTTGAATGGGACCCTGTAATTGTGTATTTACATGTCAGATATATAAAAGAAAGCATGTGTAGTTTTGTATCATGTCGTCACTCTGGGTGTGTGTTTGTGATAGTCAGGGGAGAGATGCATTGGGATACGTCTGGACAAGCCTGCAGACACAAACAACATGATTACCCAGTATTCTCCTCTGTCAGTTGTCTGACAGGAGCTGTGTGGGTGCGTTATGCCTAAAGCACAACAACAGAGGGTGCTTTAAAATGTGGCTTGTCTGTGTTGAAGGCAAAACAACCTCTCACAGAGTATTTATTAGTTCTAATTTTAAATAGTTTTGGGAGTGAGGCACAAGGCCTGTTAGAAATTGAATAATGTAGTTTGTTAGTAATGCATTAGTGAACGTCTCACTAGTATTCTCACAGAAGGTATGTGGTTTAGTTTGTTATGATCTGGTTGTGTGTTTGTGTAGGTTAGGCATAAGGCCTCTCAGAAGGTGTATGCAATGAAGGTGCTCAGCAAGTTTGAAATGATCAAACGTTCAGATTCTGCCTTCTTTTGGGAGGAACGTGACATCATGGCGTTTGCTGACAGCCCATGGGTCGTGCAGGTAAGATGCACTGCCGCTGACATCTTTTTTTTGAAGCCAAAAACTTGTCCTTTTTGAAAGTCCCCTCACATGTGCAACAATGTTTTTTCACACACGAATACTCACTATGGTTTGATCTATGAATATAAGGAATATGCTGTTTCCAATTGTTAAATATCACATGACTATCCAATATGCACACTATCATTAAAAAGTTAGGGAACAGTAAGATTTTTATGTAAAGATGAATGATGAAAAGATGAAAATGAATAATTTAATACAGAAAGGATGCATTAAATTGATCAAAAGAATAATTTTTTTAGAATCAATTTTTTTTAACATTTACTGTATAATAACAAGAAATGTTTCTTGAGAGCCTAATCAGCATATTAGAATGATTTCTGAAGGATTGTGTGACACTCAAGACCGGAGTAATGGCTGCTGAACATTCAGCTTTGCCATCACAGGAATAAATAGAAAACGGTTATTTTAAAGTGTAATTATATTTCATAGATTTGCGTCTTTGTTTTTACTGTATTTTACTGTATTTACTGCATCACAAAAGCATCCTTGGTAAGCAGAAGAGGTTTCCTTAAGAAACATAAAAAAAAATACAATCATTACAACCCAAAATGATAGTGTATGTTTTTACTGATTCCTATTATGATTATTAATATCATATTATATTATTTAAATTAATTAGAGAATTAGCTAGCTGCTCCAGTTAAAATGCTAAAAGTTAAATTATGTGTTATTAATTGGACTATAAATATATCAGGGTATCTCTAGTTTGATCACAACACAATCATACACAAAAATAAATAAATTAATAATAATAATAATACTTTCTCTTTTCTCAATTCTTTCTCATCTTTTCCTCAGCTGTGCTGTGCGTTCCAGGATGACCGTTCTCTCTACATGGTAATGGAATATATGCCAGGAGGAGATCTTGTCAATCTCACCAGTACATATGACGTTCCAGAGAAATGGGCAAAGTTTTACACTGCTGAGGTTGTGTTGGCTCTGGACGCCATTCACGCCATGGGCTTTATTCACCGAGACGTCAAACCGGACAACATGCTGCTGGACCGCTACGGACACCTCAAACTTGCTGACTTTGGGACATGCATGAAAATGGATGGGGTAAGAGGATAACCAGTTATTGCAATGCCAAATTTCAGTAGTTCACAGACTCTCATCAAAACCTCAGGTTCGCTCTTGTCAGCTTTTGACCGGGTGCTTTCACCCTGAGTGCAGGGATTTTTAGGTCACTCTTGGATGTAATTGCATGACAAATACCTTGAACACATGCCAGTTCTTGTCCAAACTCAGCCTTCCTCTCATTCCTTTATGTCTGAGTGAGGAAGACCTCAGATGGGTTCAGAGGTCTTAGGGTCATACTGAGGTTAAGAAGCTGTTGTATTTTAAAACTGCTCAGTTTATGTTGAATTAAGATTAAATGTAGCCAGTCATGTAGCCCTGCAGGGGCACTGAACTCAAGACTAGGTAGGCCTAGAATAGAAGGTTATGAAATACATCAAATGTTATGTTACAGATACTAATATATGAAAATCACTACAGGGACAAGGTTTTTTTTTTTTTGCCCCACATTTTGCACATCTGGGGCATTTTTGTCACTTTTATTGCCAGTTATTTCCCCCAAGTCCTGGTTCATTTCTGACCATGCCATTTAGTGCCACAATCCAGCCACAAAAACTAGGCTGGACATACTGCTTGGTGATATTATAGTGCCATCTAGAGTAGAGAAGCAACAATGTTTTTTCACACACGAATACTCACTATGGTTTGATCTATGAATATAAGGAATATGCTGTTTCCAATTGTTAAATATCACATGACTATCCAATATGCACACTATCATTAAAAAGTTAGGGAACAGTAAGATTTTTATGTAAAGATGAATGATGAAAAGATGAAAATGAATAATTTAATACAGAAAGGATGCATTAAATTGATCAAAAGAATAATTTTTTTAGAATCAATTTTTTTTAACATTTACTGTATAATAACAAGAAATGTTTCTTGAGAGCCTAATCAGCATATTAGAATGATTTCTGAAGGATTGTGTGACACTCAAGACCGGAGTAATGGCTGCTGAACATTCAGCTTTGCCATCACAGGAATAAATAGAAAACGGTTATTTTAAAGTGTAATTATATTTCATAGATTTGCGTCTTTGTTTTTACTGTATTTTACTGTATTTACTGCATCACAAAAGCATCCTTGGTAAGCAGAAGAGGTTTCCTTAAGAAACATAAAAAAAAATACAATCATTACAACCCAAAATGATAGTGTATGTTTTTACTGATTCCTATTATGATTATTAATATCATATTATATTATTTAAATTAATTAGAGAATTAGCTAGCTGCTCCAGTTAAAATGCTAAAAGTTAAATTATGTGTTATTAATTGGACTATAAATATATCAGGGTATCTCTAGTTTGATCACAACACAATCATACACAAAAATAAATAAATTAATAATAATAATAATACTTTCTCTTTTCTCAATTCTTTCTCATCTTTTCCTCAGCTGTGCTGTGCGTTCCAGGATGACCGTTCTCTCTACATGGTAATGGAATATATGCCAGGAGGAGATCTTGTCAATCTCACCAGTACATATGACGTTCCAGAGAAATGGGCAAAGTTTTACACTGCTGAGGTTGTGTTGGCTCTGGACGCCATTCACGCCATGGGCTTTATTCACCGAGACGTCAAACCGGACAACATGCTGCTGGACCGCTACGGACACCTCAAACTTGCTGACTTTGGGACATGCATGAAAATGGATGGGGTAAGAGGATAACCAGTTATTGCAATGCCAAATTTCAGTAGTTCACAGACTCTCATCAAAACCTCAGGTTCGCTCTTGTCAGCTTTTGACCGGGTGCTTTCACCCTGAGTGCAGGGATTTTTAGGTCACTCTTGGATGTAATTGCATGACAAATACCTTGAACACATGCCAGTTCTTGTCCAAACTCAGCCTTCCTCTCATTCCTTTATGTCTGAGTGAGGAAGACCTCAGATGGGTTCAGAGGTCTTAGGGTCATACTGAGGTTAAGAAGCTGTTGTATTTTAAAACTGCTCAGTTTATGTTGAATTAAGATTAAATGTAGCCAGTCATGTAGCCCTGCAGGGGCACTGAACTCAAGACTAGGTAGGCCTAGAATAGAAGGTTATGAAATACATCAAATGTTATGTTACAGATACTAATATATGAAAATCACTACAGGGACAAGGTTTTTTTTTTTTTGCCCCACATTTTGCACATCTGGGGCATTTTTGTCACTTTTATTGCCAGTTATTTCCCCCAAGTCCTGGTTCATTTCTGACCATGCCATTTAGTGCCACAATCCAGCCACAAAAACTAGGCTGGACATACTGCTTGGTGATATTATAGTGCCATCTAGAGTAGAGAAGCAGAACCTACACACTAAGAAAAATGTTTGAATTAGTGCCAGTTCACATCCGTTTATGTGTAATGTAATGTGATATTACTTTTTGTCAATTGTATATATTGCTGTGTTGAGTCTCTAGACCTAGATCGACAAAGATTCTATCAGTTGACTTATTGATTGGTTGGTTGATGATAGACGGGGATGGTTCATTGTGACACTGCGGTCGGAACCCCCGATTACATCTCGCCGGAGGTTCTCAAGTCTCAGGGAGGGGACGGATACTATGGACGCGAGTGTGACTGGTGGTCAGTGGGAGTATTTATCTACGAGATGCTGGTTGGTGAGTCAGGAATGTGAATCTGTGCATTTGCCTAAATTGTGCATTTGTGGTATTGATTTAATAAAAAAGATTAATGTTTGTGTATGTAGGTGATACACCGTTTTACGCCGATTCTCTGGTGGGGACCTATAGTAAGATTATGAACCATAAGAACTCTCTTAACTTTCCTGGTGACGTTGAGATCTCTCAAGAAGCCAAAAACATCATCTGTGCCTTCCTAACAGACAGGTGAGCTTTACATGCACAGATAGATGTACATGTATTTCCATATTGATGGTCAACTGCCAGGGTTCACGCCTGTTTGACAAAATGTTTTTGCCGATGTTTGCATTTGGTAGGGAGGTTCGCCTGGGTCGAAATGGCGTAGAAGAAATTAAAAGACATCCTTTCTTTAAAAACGACCAGTGGACCTTCAGCACCATTAGAGAGAGTGAGTAAATGTCCATCATACTTGCATATGTTTTACAGTACATTTTAAACAGAAAATAGTAATAAAAATGTTTATGGAATTTGTCATATCACTGGAAATTTTTAAAAAAATCAATAAAGTGAATGTATGTGTTTCTCAAACACCTTCTTGCCTTTATGGAACATTGCCCTTGTGGAAAAAAGTGCACAACTAAACTAAAAAAAAAATCTTCTTGCATGTAATATAATATTAATGAAATAAATATCATTAAATACATTTCTTAACTCTTTTTTTTAAAGAAGTGCACTAAAGTTCTAATGTAAAGTGAATTTTTAAACCTTTTTAATAATCTTTTGCACATAATTTTGACATACTGAAGCACATGTTAATATATAGAATAGAAATTAGAGCCCGACTGATATGGGTTTTTTGGAACCGATACCGATATTAGGGAGTTAAAAAAGGCCGATATCGATATATCGGCCGATATTTTTTGTGTATATTATAGTTAGGGCTGGGCAAAAAAATAGATTTTTCGATATATCGTTTTTTAAAAATGTGGTCGATTCAGTATCGATTTTCGAAGGCCACGGATCGATTTTTTTCAATATTTATTTCCACAAACATTGAACATAAGATTTACGTTAATCTTATTACTAGTCTAAGCCACTAGATGTCACCCACTTATTTGCCTTGCGCGATGCTACAGCAGAGAGTCCGTCATTCATTCATTGCATAAAATGGCGGATTCAGGTGCGTTCCCGACGTCAACACCACCTTCCAGGGCTCTACAGTGCGACCGCGTTGAGTAATGTATCACAGACATATCTCACGAATCCTTTCATAAGCAAAGTGAGAGATTCATTGCGCAGTGTAGAGAGCTTCGTTGATTATAGATGTGAGATCGAGATGAACTAAGATGAGTGCCGGCTTTTAATGATTTTTAAAGGAGTTTGTAAATGTGATACTGATTTAATACAATTCAATAAACAAGAAGTTAATATTAAGTTACTTACATTGTCTGACTATAACACTATTGTCTGATTTTGCTCTATTTCGTCGAAAATAGTTAAAAAAAAAAGTCACAGCGGAGCCGCTGCGCATCTCCATTCAAACACAGCGGTGTCTCGTTTATGAATGAACGTTTTTTTTTTCAGTGATTCATGATTACCCATTCATATAGACTGTCACTTGATTCATTCCTGAATGAATCAGCCGTTCGAATGAATCAATTGAATGAATGATTCAGTGATAAAAATCAGTGACTTACCACCATCTGCTGGCAGTTTGTTTCATTTTAAAAGTATCTTTTCAGTTATTTAAATCATTTAATGTTTCTATATTCAAAATGTTATATTTAAAACATTAATATCATCATGAATTTATGGATTTAATTGCACTCATTCCACTTCTGAGCCTCATTAAATGTCTGAAAGTACACCAAGCCACTTTTGTGTTCTTCTGTGCCACCTCTACAAATTAATTTTGTTAATACTGATTTAATTTGATTGGTAACTTATATTTCTCATTCTACTTGTTCTTATTCTGTCGTTTCAATTACATTTTTTAAAAAGCTTATGAAATAAAATAATTTTTTTTAAAGAATTTAACAAAAGATGACATACTTTTAATAAAGTTAGAGGAGTCAAATATCACCTCGTAATGGGAAGGCTACTTTTTTATAACATTTTGGATAATTGTTTTAGAAGGTGCTCCTAAAAAGAAAAGTAAGCGTAGAGCCCTGCCTTCACATAAAAAGTCAGAGGTATGGAAGCATTTTAGATTTTGCAAGCACGATGACAAAGATACTGTGGACAAGAACAAAGCTATATGCCAAACAGTTGATGGGCCCTATTGACTTGACTTCCATAGTATGGAGAAAAATATATGGAAGTCAATGGGGACCAAAACAGTTTGGTTATCCATATTCTTCAAAATATCGTCTTTTGTGTTCAACAGAAGAAAAGAAATTCATACATGCATAAATGATGACAGAATTTTTATTTTTGGGTGAACTATCACCCAAAGGCCAGTATTAGTTTTCCTACACCGTTCATAGGCTTGCAGCCTCCATGTTACAGCTAATGCTGTGAGATTTTATGTTTGTTTTGTCTTAAACATAAAATAACCTGATCCTGTTTGATCAAGGCATGCGACTGTTCTGACTTGTCCAATTTTCAGCATCAGTTTTTCATCTTGCATCAAAATTCTGTCTATTCATTGTATGCATTTGAAATATAGAGTTTTTTTAATTGTACCCAAGTGTTTTTGGTTCCTTGCCGCTGTCGCCTCTGGCTTGCTTAGTTGGGGACACTTCATTTCCAGCGATATCGTTGACATGATTGCAAAGATACTATTTAAACTGAACTGAGCGGGATGATGACATCACTGAATTGAATGATGAATTCAGGTCTTTAACTGAAAAATGAGTGTTTACTATTGTCATTTTGCATTACTGACACACTATTATCCTAATTAATGCTGTTCAGTTGCTTTGACACTATCTGTATTGTTAAAAGCGCTATATAAATAAACGTGACTTGACTTGACTTGACTTGACTCTCGAACGCCACCCTCCGCGCGTCGGTAGCCCCCCGGGATCGCTTGATTGGTCGGCGCCGGACTGCGAATTTAACCACTCGCAAACCCCCCGAACCCCAGGGGCTATCGACGCGGGGGAGGTCTCATTCGAAAGCGGGCTTCTAGACGTACACTCGATTCATGTTCGAGAGGGTTCCTCGAGCTGAAGGAATTCCCCGAATTTGGTGCAGATTCGCCACGCCATTACGGAGATATGGCCGTTCAAAGTTTCAATGGTTTTCCATAGACTTAAGCTTCAAAAGCGTTTCATCCAGGTCGCCAGTAGCAAACAATAGAGCGTGCGCTGCTGGACAAACTAAGTAATTACGCCATTTCAAGCATTTTATCTGCGTTATATGTTCTGTAAAAAAATGTTCATATCGGCGGCATATTCGCCGATACCGATATATCGGCAACAGGCTCATATCGGCCGATAATATCAGCAAAACGATATATCGGTCGGGCTCTAATAGAAATATTTATTTATTCAATAAAAATATTGAGAAGAGTTGGAAAAGTTCAGCTGATTGCATTTAGTTTCAACTAACATGCAGTTAAATGTCCAAAAACTTTCCATTTAGTTAGTTTAGATGTTGTTTGAAAGTGTATTATTTCTGTAACAGATCTCTCTTTAGAAACTATGACATTTTGCAGAAGATATGTTTAGTATTCGTATTCAGTATTAATATTAGTGCACACCTCAGCTATTTATGTCCCATTAAAACAAACATATTTAAACTGATATAAAAAAATAAAAAACAAAATGAAAACGAAAAAGTTCTAAAACTATAATAACTGTGCTCAATACACATTCGCATTCCAGTGTTACCCAACTAAAGACAAAGCAAGACTGTGAGGTAGAAGTGTACATTTATGAGCAATATTATTATTATTATTATCATCTCTACTATCAGTGTTGTTTACATCAGCTGTTATAAACGCACAGTTACCCTTTTTTGTCCTTTCTCTCTCCAGCTGCAGCACCTGTGGTTCCAGAGCTGAGCAGTGACATAGACACCAGTAATTTCGATGAGATAGAGGAAGATAAAGGAGAATTAGAGACCTTTCCCACATCCAAAGCCTTCGTTGGCAATCAGCTGCCATTTGTGGGGTTCACCTACTTTAAAGAAGACCAGTAAGACCAGATTTTTTTTTCCACTTTTGCACAATAAACCATTTCTTGGTACAGTCAGTGTTGGATCTGTACTTGTTGTCTTGATGCAAACCAGTTGATAACTACCGTCACAGATTACCTGATGTGTTTTTGTGTAGGTTGTTGAATGCTGTTAACAGTTCAGCAATGAAAAAAGATCACCCAGCATCCAAGACAGAGGTATGACACAGATACACTCCCACCTTCGTCAGCTTATACATTTAATTTAACTGCATTATGCTCTGTAGAGACTGGATTTACATCATACAGTAGTCTCTGGTGGTTAGAGACTTGGACTTAAACTGATTAGTGCTTCTTGCAGCATTGGTTGTAACACTTTTTTTCTTTCTTTCTATTTTTATTACCCACAGGACAATATAGCTGTAAGTATGTTCACTTTCTCTCTGCTTAATATGTAGATCTTGTTAGGTATAGGGATGCTCCGATCCGCCTTTTTCGCCTCCGATACCTAGGGT